CTCGCGTTCTGAAATATCTGGATGATCCATAGGAAACCTGTCTAAATTGATAAATTGACATGCAGAGGGACAAACATATATTGTGTCAAAAAAGACAGTGTAAAGAACAAATTGTAATTAAGGTCGGAATTCACTGCAAAACGGATTGAACAGGTTTCGGATTAGACGGTTTTTACTGTCACATTCCATGTTTTCCATTATGCCCGTTTCCTTATTAAGTTTTCACCCCCCCTTTCTTTCCTCCCGAGATTCTTTAACTTTTTTTTTTACACAACATTATTCAAAAGGGCTATTATCTGTTGTTTTAATTATAAAAATTATCATATAAACGAATAACACAGAGCAATATACTCTTTGATTTTCGAGAAGTTTCCAGATCGTCTATAATCTGATAGTAGAAACGTCTGGTAAATTCTAAGGTTTGCAGGCGCTTGTGAAGGTAAGAGCATTGTGAATTAGTGCAATAAAAATTAAATTAAATTTTTATTTAACTAATATAAATTATCAATTAAACTATTCTATTTAATACTTTGCGTTTCTCGACATTTCCGGGTTCAATATTTTATTTAATTCGGCGGTGATTAGTCCCGCCCTGTTTACGATTTTTATTTTTTATTCAAAAAATTTGTTCAGTGAATGATAGTTGCTCAGCATACTCTTCTGGGATAGACAACGGGCGAATTTGTTTCTCAAAAACTGGTTTTAGTTTCGAACCAGTTTGGTTAACCGTTCATTTGTTCCTCAAACTGGTTTTAAACTAGTTTCAACCCAGAACCGGTTTTCCATTTGTTTTTGCTGTAACCGAAACCAGTTCCTTGAACCAACCAAACCACCTCCGATGGTGGTTTATTCGGTTTACGAAATAGCGGGAAGCTTTTCCAGCATGGCGACAGCGTCTGCAATATTGCTGAAATGTGCTGTCTGCTCTTTTGAAACGGAAGTAATTCCGGAGTTTGAAAAACATTTTTGTAAGATAATTGATTCTGCATTTATTTGATTTGAATGTAACAAAAGGATTTTCTTGTTAATAAAACATCTTTCAGTTATAAAATCCAAAAAAACCAGCATTTGTATGGGATAGAGGAAATTCTAGTTACAGTATAACTGATGAACAGTAATATATACTTATAGTGATATGGTCTGTCAACAAATATATCTTTACGTTGACAATTTTCATTTACTGACAGAGAATTTTAGTTTTTAATGTTAAATTTCTGAACATTTCTCACAAAGATTCATTGATTTGAGCAGTATCATTTATATTTGCTTTACTATTATTATATACCTTTTTCATAGGCTCTACCAACAACAATGTAGTTCAAGTGAAAGAGTTGGTGTCAAAAAAATATCATACGTTAATTTCAGAAGAATTTCTTAACACATATGTGTTTGAAAATGAAACTGAAGCCAATAACTTTAGAGAGAAAGACCAAGGGAATGATGATAAGGCAGTTATGGTTTTCAACAAAACCAAACCAATTTACCCAAAAGTTAACGAAAATTTGTCTGTTTTTGGAAAAGAATTTGTACGAAATACAAAACCATGGGTGGTCAATCTCCTTACTGATTGGTGTAGATTCGACGAAGTTATATGCTGCAAATCTTCAAGATACTCTGAGGCCAATGAAAGCACTGAAACAACTGGTAAAAAATTTATGTCTCTAATTATATAATATATCTATATTTTTAATTCAAAGTGAAACATCATAAAATGCTGAGTTTGTACATTGTATATTTACCCATTTATGTCAAGCCCCTGATAATATTTGCTATCCCCATGCTTGAATACTACTTAATATGCTTTGAACAGAATATGTACATAATATACCAGTCATGATTTTTTTCCAAATTATTTGCAGATGAAAGTAAAACAGATGTACCAAGTACCAGCAATAATTCATTATGGTCTGATATACCAAGTACCAGCAATAATTCATCAAGTACCAGCAATAATTCATCAAGTACCAGCAATAGTACCAGCAATAATTCATCAAGAACCAGCAATAATTCATCAAGTACCAGCAATATTTCATCATGGTCTAAAGTTGCAACCAGTCATCTAATAGAATTACACACCATGCATTCTGCCAAATTCACAAAACCCTCTATGAAAAAGAAGGAAGTTTGGAAGATAATTTGTTCTGAAATGCACAACAGGGGTTTCTCTTTCACAGTGAATCAATGTGAACAGAAATGGAAAAATCTTACAAAAGCATATAGAGATTGCGTTGATCACAACTCAAAATCAGGCAATGAACGGAAAGAATGTCCATTTTATAAAGAACTAGAAGACTGTTATGGGTATAAACCGAATGTTAAACCCGTATTCACTCTAGGAACACGCAAGGAGGATGAAACAGATAACGAAGAATCAAAGGCAGAGTCAACTTCAAGTGACTGTGATGTGACCCCCAAAAGAAAGAAGAGTAAGCAGGCAAGTGAAATAGTAGAAATCTTGGATGACATGAGAAAAGAACACAAGGAGATGATGAAGACACTGAAGGAACAACATCAGAAGAAAATGGAAAATGAAGAAAAAAAACTTGAAATAATGGCTCAGTTGGTTGAAGCCATGAAAAAATAGTAACAGTAGTAACTATTATGTTATCTTTTAGTGTAAGAAAGATTACTTAATGGTAATTTCTGGCAAGTTAGCGGACTGGTTTGTAGTTGACAGGAGAATCTGATACGACCATTAGTCAATTTTTCATGCCTTGTTATTATCAGATAAGATTATTTCATTGTTGATGAAAGTTCCTATTGTGGTATATTAAGTAAAGACTTAAGTAAGTTTTTAGTATCAAGTTTGTCTGGTCTTGGCTGTTGTCACTGTTGACTTTCTTTTGATTTAAATATTTATTATCTTCTGTAGAACCCAGATGATTATCATAAATAAAGCTTTTTTCTTAAATTTGAAAATGAAAAGTATGGAGACTATTTTTAAAAAGTTTTAAATATTTGAAAATTGTTTTGTTCTTCAAGGAGAAATAATTCTTTGGCCTTTAATTCCACTGTTTGATGCATGTATTTTATAAGGCTTTAGAGAATAGATAAATAATTTGAATTTGTTCATAATAGTGGTCAGAAATCAAAATATTAAAAGTTTTCTCTTCAAAAATGAGTTTTGGTTAATTTGGTTATTAGTTTTAGAATCATTAGAAAAATAGTTAACATGTATTGTAAGGTAAATTATTAAACATACTGTAAAGTTGGTTTGAATAATGGAAATCTAAAGTACATTTACCTGTGTGGACCTATGATAATCCAATTGTTTTAAATTATTACAATGTGATTACTAGTAGTCATCCATTCATAAATCATGATGTATACAGTATACATGTATCAGAATGTTTTGTAAAATTATTTATATAAGCCTTTGAGTATAATAGAAGGGGAGCACTAGCTTCAAGACCGCATTATTTTGAGGAAGGTATCCTCTGTCTTTGATTTATTTTTGTGTTACAATAAAATTTAATATACCTGAGTTTTTATCTTTCCACTGTGTTGAAAAAAAAAAATTCAGAATTTGATCATTGATGAATATTTGATGCATTAATATAAATACTTCATTTTAAGTAAGATTAACAATGAACAAATAAACTTTTTTTGGATTCTTTATTAAGAAAGGAGTTTCAGTTTCTCATGCATGTGTAATTTAGATATGTTTTTCTGTTCATAACAAGGTGCCTACGTTGTATATGAACAGGAAAAATATTATAACATTCTTGCAATACTATCCCTCTTTTCTCCTGCAGCATTATTTACACATAAAATTTGCACAAAGTTGTTGACTTCATCCTCTCCTCCCTCCTCTATATACTCTACACAATCATCGTCATGCTGTAGACAAAATTCGTGCAATACACAGCAACTAATCACTACTTTTACAATTTTTTCAATGTCCTGAATGTCTACAAATTTTAAGCGGCGAAATCTTCCTTTTATGGCCCCAAAAGTGCGTTCAATTACCATCCTAGTACTGCTGTGAATATAGTTGTACTGATACTGACTTTGTGTTAGGTTTCCACGGTCCCTGTAGGGAGTCATCATCCACATTTCAAGACCATAAGCAGAGTCCCCCAAAAGGTGTGTATTGTTGGGAAACATCCCCTCTGGGTCTTTCTGAATCCTTTGGTACAATTCTGAATTTTTAAAAACTCGGGAGTCATGCACAGATCCCGGCCAACCACAGTTAACATCTAATAAATGCATTTTTGAATCACACACGGCCTGAAGAATGACAGACGGAAATGACTTTCGATTAATGTAGTTTTCTGGACAATGATTTGGAGTTTTTATAGGTATGTGACTACCGTCAATGGCACCAATTACAGCAGGGAAATTTTTTAAATCTTTAAACCCTTTAACAATGTTGGAAACTTTTTCACCATCTGGCCATTTTATGCATTGCTGCAGAAGTTCACGGCAAACAATGTTTGCGAGGCGCTTTACAATATCAAAGACTGTATATTCACATACTCCGAATTGGTCAGCAATAGCTTGGATTGTCATTTGTGTTGTCAAATAGCGTATGAAAATTAATAACTGTTTTTCCATTGGTATAATTGTTTTCTCTTTAAATTCTAAGAAAATTGTTAAAAGAGATGAAAATGTTCCTGGGCTCATTCGAAACCTTCGTCTAAAATCTTCCTCAGTATACTTTGGAATGATCTCCTCAACATAGTTAAGCGCTCGAGGAATTCTGATCCGACGCTGAGGAATCAGGGTCATAAGAGCAGAACACATTGAAGTATGCATTTGGAGTTGAGACAATAGACCAACTTCATGATCTTCTAAGTTGCTATCATTTTCTAAAAATGCAGAATTAATAATCATGCAAACACAGGCATGTTTGTGCCTTTTAGACGCCATCTTTATGTCTAAACTGTTCATTTGTTTTACCGAGGCAAACCGGATTGAAACTAGAAACCAGTTTGAAAACTAGTTTCAAACTATAAACCAAAACCTGAACCAGTTTAAGCGCAACAAATTCGCCCAACATGTCATACGAAGTCATCGTCTTGAAAGAAGGCTACAGCAAAGCAGAGGGCCAGGGTATGTTCCATTTAAACTCAGTTTCAAACATTTACTAAGCATCATGCAGCTGTCAGGGTATCATTCGTACTCGTTAGTCTTTTTATTTTCGTCTGCTGAACAAGCTTATAATTTATTTAAAAAAAATTTTAGAAGAAATTGATTTTTATTATTCTTCAAAATTCTTTGCACTGATGGATCAAATATTTAACGCAAAATGTGTAGGAAACAAAAAGTTTGGAAACCAGTATGGGTCAATAATTCATGTTTTCTTTAGGTCAGCAAAGAGCATGTGGGAGTATTAGCCTGATCAAGGGACCTAAGAACATCATTGTGGATACCGGTAATCCTTGGGATAAGGAGCACATTCTAGATGGTAGGTCTGAAAAAAAGCTTGATATCTCAGCTGAAAACAAAGGGTCCTATTTATTGATAAAAACATCAATACTGGTTCAGCCCCCTCCCCCCAAATCAGAAATTTTTTGTACAAATTCAACTTTTGTGAAGTTTTTCCATTACCCATCTTAAATATTTGAAAATCCTACATGTAGGGTCACCATATTCAATTTATTTTTTAAGATTATTATTTTGACTTTGTATATAAAGATTACCGTATAAGTTAACTGGGTTTTTTTTTATGTGGGTGCAAATTTTTGCGATTTATTGCTAAAATAGGTACTATATGTACTTTTGGCGATTTTACACTAACTCTAAATTTTTAATCAAAATTTATTTTGTCAGGTAATCTTATGATAACTCTTTTCAAAACACACAAAGACATTCATTTGCTAATATTCATTACCGAGTAACACTTTTTTTTACCTTGCTTGCGAGGATTCAATTCTGCAATTTCACAATTCTCACTGTCTAAAAAATCAAGTTTTTCTAGATTTGAGCTCTGTATTGTATTTATCCCGTAAATTTCTCACAGTACTCTCACATAGTCCAGGAAACTTTGACTGAAATTGTTTAATAGTGGATAAAGGTCCAGGTAATCTGGCATTGTTTCCTATCTCAGCTCTCTCAATCGGGGAAAAAGCCATTTACATTCTTCTCAGTTTTATTTTGGTTTTTCAAGAACATTGGCCACTTTCTCATTACACTCAGTAATTTTTATAGGCGACATTTTGCTTCATGGTCCAGTAGGGTCGGGTAACTTACTTAAAAGCTTCAAATATTTGAAAAGCGCCACATTTGCAGGCAAAGTGTGAATGCTTAATACTGGTCACTTCACGATACCTGTATTACCGATGCAGAGCTCCAGATAATTTTTTACCTCAAAGTGTATTTACTCCCTGATTTTCAAATCAATGCAGATTTTGCTTTTCAGCAAAATAATCAGAGAGTATTTTATTAATCCATTGCTCTTTTGACATCTAATGTGGTATTTAGCTTGTTATCGAAATGTGTTTTTGAAAGAGGAATGTAAAAAATAAGAGAGTTTCTGCATTTATCAGTTAGATTAATTTTAATTAATGAAATTTAATTTAAAAAATTGTCAGCTTTTATCTACAATTGAGAAACTTTCGTTTTTTTCACCAGAAAGACCATATGGTAGGCACAGAACTCCATTTAAGATTAGGCCTATATCGACCATAGCAAGAGTTTACCGAGAAAAATATCCTTCCTTTGGCCAGATAAAATTAATCTTTAAATTCTCATCCCCACCTGCCCCTCTCAAAATATCCTGCCCCGTTGTTTTCTATTTTGTTTGTTTGTTTGTTTGCTTTCAATGAAAAATATATAATTAGGTTTTGCTATATAAATTGTTGGCATCGATCGAGATAAAAGTTTTAGAGTTACTCCCCGTTTTCATTAAAAGTCGTGTGGCGCTATTATAGCACAGGAACACATGGAAAGCAAAAAGCAATAATTTTTATACAATTAATAAAGGTTGTCAGCGCACTTTAGATGATATTATTGCTACAGAAAATGGTAAATATACAAGAACTGTTTAATAAATAGTGATAAAGGATAAATTAGACACCATGCGTGTTTGCGCAATTTTGACAATATCGATCGACGTGTATGCATCAAGAACGAAAATTTGGATGTTATATGAACAGTGGAAATCTAAAATTCAAACACTAAGCTGACCTCAATTCACATAATTAGTTAAATAATACTTGTATCATTCAATCCATTGTACGCATTACTTTCATAGTATAATGCTTATTTATGATTGCTAATGCGTAATTGTACGCCCTGTTTTAATTTTTAATGCGTATTTTGAAAAATTCAATGCATATTTCTGCAAATACGCACCTTATCTGGAGCTCTGATTACGCAATGAAGCATGAAATTCAGACTCTATAGAGGGGCCTCACAATAGAAGTTTTTGACTTATTTTTTGCAATTTAGACTTTATCACAGAATTTCACAAAAAATAGCACCCTCAGAAAAATCCAGTTATACAGTAACCAATGGATTCAGTAATTTCAACCAATCATATGAACCAAAGCATAAAAAAGCGAGATCTTAGAAGCTCAAGTCAAAACCCATCCTCGCAAGCCAGGGGTCCTGAGTCAACACGTTGCTGTTGGACCCCTGGCATATTTCATTCAATATTTGTGGGCTTGCTTCTCTCATTGAGAAGCACCAATCAAATTAAGGCTTTCATAAATAGTTAGATAAGGATTCAGTTGACACATCAAATGCATGTGTTACAAGTTGTTTATCATAGAATGGCTTAATGTGATTGGTTGAGAGATAAGAAAAACAATCAAGATTTGTAATTTTTCCAAAAGATGTCGCTACAGTCAGCCCACAAATATTGTCAATACTATGATCATTTCTATAAAGAGCCAGAGTGTGACCATGAAAAGGTGGGTGGAAGACATGATAGAAACATTCAAACTTGAGTGAAAATGAAGAATAATGTCTTGCAGGTCTACAGAAGAATGGACTTTCTCCAGAAAAGATAAACTATTGTGTGTGTACTCACGGCCACTCTGATCATGTTGGGAATCTGAGCATCTTCTCCAATGCTGTACACATTCTCTCTTACGATGTGTGTGTTGGGGACCAGTACCAAATGCATGATTTCAAAACGGTAATATCTTGTGTTTTCAGAATTTTCATTTTTGCCAAATTCATGATATGCTATTTAGCTCACCTGAGCCAAAGGCTCCAGTGAACTTTTCTGATCGAAGTTTGTCTATTGTTCATTCTTCTATCTTTCTGTTAACTTTATTTTTGATTTCTTCTCCAGAAACACTGGGCCAATTTCAAGCAAACTTGCCACAAAGCATCCTTGGTGAAGGGGTTCAAGTTTCTTGAAATGAAGGGCTACATCTTATTTCAAGGGAAGATAATTTAGAAATGATAAAAATTTAATGTCATCTTTCAAAATGTTCACAAGAACCACCTGGCTAGAAGAGATGAAACTTATGTAAAAGCATCATTACTTAGTGTAGATTCAAGTTTGTTCAAATTATGACCTCCGGGTGTATGATATAAATTTTCATTGAAAAAGCTCCAAAAAAAATTATGATTTAGTTTAGATTAAAGTTTGTTCAGATCAGGGCCCTTAGGAAATGGTTGAGGCCACAATAGAAGATCAGAATTTTATAAGGGATTATATACTGTTAGTAAGAAGAAATATTTCCAAGGGTGGCAAATTATATTGATAAACAAAACATACCTAAGTTGTGTGAAATCAGTTTTTTTAAAATTTAATTATGAGCCCTTTGGTTAGGGTTGGGCCAAAATCAGAGACCCAAATTAACATAATGTATGTGTACAGGAAAAAAATGTTATCAAGAACAGCAGGGCCATGTGAATTGTACCAATATTGAAGCATCCAAATGCCATGTGGATTCAAATTTGTTTTAATCATAGCTCCCCTAGGGCTAGAATTTTTTATCCACAATTTCGAAATCTTTATGAAGTTAATGAGGGAATTAAATAAAAACAAGGGCATTACAAAGCAGAGCATTGCCTTGTCTCGCAAAAGAGCACATTTGATCCTGATATGTATATTATTCCTTGCATAACTTCTGTTACACATGTACTCACCTACATGCACACAAGCTCGTTACTTTATGTACATTATGTACCCTCCCTTCAACTTCGTTGCAGGGAGATAAAAAAAATCTGCTGATGAAGAACAGTAGGGCCAAAGTGATTCAGGTGAGCATTGTGGTCCATGGGCCTCTTATTTGTTGGTACATGTAATACAGTTCGTAACCAAATGACCACGTCTGGAAAAATCTCTGGATCAGCTTCATGTTATGATTGATACTGACATTCATTTGATGTCAGAAATTATGTTTAGTATAGTGTTGTTGCAGTCATAGATTAATTGACAGAGCTCCAGATAAGGTGCGTATTTGCAGAAATATGCATTGACCTTGGAGTTTGAACTACTTTTGAAAAACTTTAATCTTGGCAATAACTTTTGAACGGTTGGTGCTGGGGCTGTTGTATTTTACAGGTATATTCCTTGTGATAAGATCTTTCCTGGGGTACCAATAATTGTTTACCTTAACCTTGGAGTTTGACCAACTTTTGAAAAATTTTAACTTTGGCAATAAATTTGAATACTTGGTGTTAGGGCTTTCATAATTCATCTGTATTTCTTATGACAAGACCTTCCCACGGGTACCAGCAATTTTTACCCTTTGACCTTAACCTTGGAGTTTGACCTACTTTTGAAAAACTTTAACCTTGGCCACAACTTTTGAATGGTTGGTGTTAGAGCTTTCATATATCACATGTGTATTCCTTGTGACAAGACCTTCCCTTGGATACCAACAATTCTGAGCCTTTTACTTTGACCTTGGAGTATGACCTACTTTTGAAAAACTTTATTTTGACCTTGACCTTAGAGTTTGACCTACTTTTGAATAACTTTAACCTTGGCCATAATTTTCGAGCAATTGGTATTAGGGCTTTCATATTTCACATGTATATTTCTTGTGCCAAGACCTTCCCTTGGGGTACCAACATTTTTGATCTCAGGACTTTGACCTTGGAGTTTGACTTACATTTGAGAAACTTTAACCTTTGCCATGAGCTGCCATATGGGGGCATCAGTGTTTCACAAACAAATGTTGTTATTTCAAGTTTCTGCCCATTACTTATCTAATATCCTAAAAAAAGGAGCTTGGTTATGGTGCATCATGTAATTGCAGATATATTAAAGTTGATTTTGTGGATTTAGGGAATTCCTTATGAGATAGATGACGATGTAGAAGTGGTCCCCACTCCCGGACACACGGGGTCGGACATCTCAGTCATCGTCAGCAACACAGGACTGGGTACTGTTGCAGTGACAGGTAATTGAACCATCATTATACCTTATATGTAAGTCCATTCACAATCTAAGGAACTTGGAAAGTTCATGTATTACATGTATACCAATGATACAGAAAAGGTTAAAGTTGAGGTCAAAAATTTAAAATTATTGATGATTATTGATGTAGGTTTGATTGATTGTATTTTTAGGTCACCTGAGTCACTCAGGTGACCTATTGCTATCTCTTTTCGTCCGTCGTCGTGCGTCGTCCGTCGGTCGTAAACTTTTGAACATTTTCAGCTTCTTCTCTGGAACCAGCAAACCAATTTCAACCAATTTTGGCATATAGCATCTATGGGTGAAGGGGAACAAAAATTGTGAAATTCATGGCCCCTGCCCCCCAGGGGCCTGAGGGGTGGGGCCAAAACCATCAAAATTAATGCAATCTTTAAAAATCTTCTCCTTTGCTCCTGGACATCAAGCAGTCAAACTGTTGGCATGATTGTAATAAGCATTGAGCCCTCTACCAAAATTGTGAAATTCATGGCCCCAGGGTTAGGGGTTCTGGTGCTAGGGCAGGGCTATATAGATCATATAGTAAAAGTGCATTATTTCTTTGAAAATCTTCTTCTCTACTCCTGGGTATTATTGAAACAAATTGAATACATAGTTATGATAAGCAAGGGTGACTCTACCAAAATTGTGAAATTCATAGCCCAAGGGTCAGGGGTTCTGGTGCTAGGACAGGGCTATATAGATCATATAGTGAAAGTGCATTATTTCTTTTAAAATCTTCTTCTCTACTCCTGGGTATTATTGAAACAAATTGAATACATAGTTATGATAAGCAAGGGTGACTCTACCAAAATTGTGAAATTCATGACCCCAGGGTCAGGGGTTCTGGTGCTAGGGCAGGGCTATATAGATCATATAGTGAAAGTTCATTATTTCTTTGAAAATCTTCTTCTCTACTCCTGGGTATTATTGAAACAAATAGAATACATTGTTATGATAAGCAAGGGTGACTCTACCAAAATTGTGAAATTCATGACCCCAGGGTCAGGGGTTCTGGTGCTAGGAGGGGGGGGGGCTATATAGATCATATAGTGAAAGTGCATTATTTCTTTGAAAACCTTCCTCTCTACTCCTGGGTATTATTGAAACAAATTGAATACATAGTTATAATAAGCAAGGGTGACTCTACCAAAATTGTGAAATTCATAGCCCAAGGGTCAGGGGTTCTGGTGCTAGGGTGGGGCTATATAGATCATATAGTGAAAGTGCATTATTTCTTTGAAAATCTTCTTCTCTACTCCTGGCTATTATTGAAACAAATAGAATACATAGTTATGATAAGCAAGGGTGACTCTACCAAAATTGTGAAATTCATGACCCCAGGGTCAGGGGTTCTGGTGCTTGGGCGGGGCTATATAGATCATATAGTGAAAGTGCATTATTTCTTTGAAAATCTTCTTCTCTACTCCTGGGTATTATTGAAACAAATTGAATACATAGTTATGATAAGCAAGGTTGACTCTACCAGAATTGTGAAATTCATAGCCCCAGGGTCAGGGGTTCTGGTGCTAGGGCAGGGCTATATAGATCATATAGTGAAAGTGCATTATTTCTTTTAAATCTTCTTCTCTTCTCTTGGGTATTATTTAAACAAATACATAGTTATGATAAGCAAGGATGCCTCTTCCAAAATTGTGAATTTCATGACCCCTGGATCAGAGGTTCTGATGTTAGGGTGGGGCTCTTTTTATTATATAGTGAAAATGCATGAATGCTTTAAAAATCTTTTCTGCACCTGGGCATATCAGAGGCAAAAAGAGTAAAAGTTTTAATAAAGAAGGGTATTTTTACCAGATTTTTGAACATCAGGACCATTTGGTCAAGTGTTCTGGTCCAGGCCAGGGCTCTATTAATTTGTATTCTACTGAGAGGAGTTACTCCCCTTTGCCATTTACTTGTGATAATTAAACACTGTAAATATTGTACTTCAAAGGGTAATAGAATAAGAGAATTATGCAAGAATTTTTATTGTATAATACAAAAAGTACTTTCATAGTTTTAATGATCAGTTAGACTTGTAAGTAATAGATAAATAAAAATGAGACAAAAATAACTTCTCTTATTAAATGTTCATCAAAGACCATGCAAGAGAGGCCAATGTTAGAGATTTCAACAAGGAATTAAAATAGTTCAGAAGCTCTGATAGTTTGTTAATATACTGTATATTGAGAGTGATAAATGGGGAACAGATTAGAACCTAATTTATGATCTGTTAATGAATACTAGACTTATTATTTTGTTGATCCTGATCACCCTATTTTTCTTGCTTTTGGGCAACAAAGCTTCACCTTTCAGTTCATTTTCTACTCTATGGATCCTCTAAATTGTTGTATTATACTCAGGTGACCATTAAGGCCCTTGGGCCTCTTGTTTTCAGTACTAGAGTAGAGATAACCTGTTTTCATTTATCTTTTGGATGAAATCTAATTAAATGGAAGTGTGCATGTAATGTTCTTGTGATAAATGTCAGTCTGTATAGATCCAGGATAGTTTTTCTTAGATAACCATTATCAGTTGTCATCTTTGATTAAATTGTTAAACTTAGTTGGCCTCTTGTAGTATTAAATACATAGACAATGAATGATATACCAGTAATTGGTGTCATTTGACAACCAGTACAAAATATTATTAACATAATATACATATTGATTGTAGGTGATTTATTTGAATGTTTGGAGGACTTGGAAGAACCTAGTTTGTGGCAGGACAATAGTGAAAATCCAGATCTTCAACAAGAGGGCAGGATAGATGTTCTTGGAAGGGCAGATTACATAGTTCCTGGACATGGGAAAATGTTTAAGGTTCCTGACGAATACAAGAGGTCATCCATGAGGGTTGTAATGTATGAGGAGGAAATCAGCCAGTCAGGGGACCAAATATCAGTAATCAGTGAATATGTGGTGCATGAGGAGGATTCTTGAAATTTAGTGGAAGTCCATATGTGATCTAAAAATAATTCTTATGCAACTATAGGGAGTTTTCTCAAAAAAATTTTGTTGGCTGCACAACCCTTCATCTATTGTAATACATGTTCTCTGTAGTTCTGTGATTACATAATCAGGCTGTGATTGATAAGTTGAAAAATATGTTATTATAATCAAAGTTAAATAATGTGAGGGTTGTTGATCCAAACAATATGTTACTGAGTAAATGTAATAATTATATATCGGTACTACATGTATATGTATTACATGTTAGCAGATACTTCTGGTACATTGCCAGTTTTAATAGCAAAACTTGTGTATATATAATGTTGTTCTTTTGACATCATTTAAAATTTTTTTCCATCTTTTAACATAGTAATGTGGTTTTATTTATTCTTCTGGTATTGAAACATTCCCTTAAAAAAAACAAAGGTTTCCCTTTCAGCTTACGCCAGCCTATTCCTCATTTCAAAACTTTTTATTTCAAGTAATGACCAGTCTGAAAATGTTGTTTTAATTACATGTACTGTTAGATTCATTAAGGCACAGTTCATTAGTCCCTTGCAACATTAAAGTATTATTATAATGAGGTGCTGCACACATTTGCATATGATTGAAATTGATGTGCAGCAATTTATGTATGCCTTGTGGAATTTCACACTCTTTTGTGTCCTTGATTTAAAAATGTACAGTTATTCATATTAACTTTTGTTGACAAAAAATTATAAAATATATGCAAGAAAATCTCCCATGATTCAGATTGCTGTCATTATGTTTAGTTTTCATTTAGGAAATTCTCCTGCTCATACATTTTAATCCTCTTTCACATTGTATGAATGTGTGTGTTAAATAAATTTATATACATGATAAATCATCAATATAGATAAAGCATGTATACATATATACATTCCCTTGTATTTGTTCACTGTTACCCAACACCTCTAGTGTGAAAGGAATGTTGAAATTTGTTTATATACATGCATAGTTGTTGGTCCACGCATTTGTTCTGATGATTTTTTCACAAAGTATTACTGTCTGATGTTTTTCGATTTCCATTTTCATTATTTTAATACATGTACATGTATTGAAAACTGAGAAATCATGATGCTAACAATTATTATTGAAGCTATGATAAGAATTTTCAGAGAAATGCACAACAGAACAAGTTGCAAGTAGGAAAGGTGCATAGTTACACATATTTCTGACATTTGCCATTTTTCCTTAAGGCTTTCTGTACATGAATATCCAGTTCTGAAGTTGCAAGTAGTTGAAGTTTTGACTAGGGCTGGGACAATTATATCTAGATATCAGTAATATCGATTCTGTGTGACGACGATACGTATATCGATACCTATGTAAAAATATCGAAATATCGCAAAAAAAATCTGAATTATGTTTTCTTTGTTTACTTGACATTTTGGGGCTTAATATATTAAATAAGTATGCTAAATATAAATATATATATGAAATACATAATATTTAATTTCAATTGTATAAAATAATTTTGTTTTACAGCAGGTACACAACTTCTTTGCATAGATTATTCTTATAAAGTCATTTGTGAAGAAATGTTTTGTTCATTTCAATGCAAAAAGAAGATTTTATAACCAATTCAAAATATTGTGATACATATCGTATTGTGGCTCAAATATTGTGATATGGATCGAGATAGAAAAAGTTGTACATGTATCGTCCCAGCCCTAGTTTTGACTATGTTGAAGTGTAAAATTTAATTATGACAGACAAGTTCTAATAACTGTGATTTAATATACATACATGTATATATACCAAATTTATGAAATTTGTGTTTATAGTGTTTGCTTGTTACCGATATATGTTTTGTTTCAATATCATTTGTACATAATTTGTGTTATTGCTGCTTAAGGTGCCATGGAACAGATGCATATGTATATATGCATATTCTTTTTCCAGGTTTCAGAATTCAGGATTCATGAAATGAATTGGCAGAGAAAGAAACCAGGATCAATGAAATAATGTTATTTGTTATTTATTTCTTGATAATTACTTTTGATAATTAAATTATTTAATCCTTTAATCAAAATGTATTAATGTTGAGGAATTATCTTTATTTTCTTCAAAAGAGAGGCTATTGTTTTGCACCACATTAATATCTTACCAAAATAAATACAGAAGTCAAACAGGTATCAGGTGGACTTGGAAAAACTTCTTTGTTGTTGATTTTTTTTAAGTGTCAATTTTTTTCTCATTCTGCTGAATAATAAATTTTGAACAATGTTGAATGCATGAGAGGTGCCACTGTTGTTATTATTATTCAGTTTTGTAAATAAATGATTTTCAGTGAGATTCATTTTCATTTACAATTGTATTTATATCTGTCTTTAGTCCGTCGTACCTAGCAATTAGTTATGTCTCAAAGACAGGATATTTTTATCAAAACTTGTACACTGATACATATTGGTGAGAACTATTCACCAGTGTCCAAATTAGCTGACCTCCTTTCTATTGAGCTTGACCTCTCCATCCCTCATTATGTATGCATTTAGGTCTGTTTAAAAAAAAAAAATTAAGTTAAAGACCCCCCCCCCCCCAAAATACTATAGTATATACAATGATACATATTGATGAGAACTATTCAACAGTGTTAATCTTTTTTGCCTTTGACCATCCCTATGACTTTGACCTCAATATTCCTCTTTGTGCTTTTAGCTCAGGTTAAAGAAACTGTTCAAGATATTTTTTATCAAAACTCATACAATAAATACATATTGGTGAGAACTACTCACTTTTGTTGAAATTTTATGATTTTGACATTCCCTTTGACTTTTGAGTTCATCTATTACTCAGTTTGTTTGCATTTATCTTAGTTGCAAAGATACTGTTCAAGACACTTTCAGCAAACCACATACACTGAAACAAATTGGTGAGAGCTATATACTACATTTTTTTTTTAACTTTAACCTTCCAAATGACCTTGACCATGCAATTCCTCTTTAATTATTTATTTATTTATTTTTGTTTACCATGGTTTCAAAGAAACTCTAAATGATATTTTCATCAAACTTCATGTAATGGTACAAATAAGAATGAGCATTTCAACTTCGTCATAATTTTCAGACCTTGACCAAGACTGAAGGCATAAAAGGGGGGTGGGTGGGATGTTACATTTTATAAGTATATGCAAAAAAAGAAGAAGCGAACAATTGAACTAAAAAGGAAGCCAAATAAACTAAATATTTACTCTCAAAATAAACCTTAAAATCTTTATTTAACCTCGAAACCAATCTTTCAACAAATTACAGCATGCGGACCAAATTGTTTGGGGGGCGAAAATGTACAGTCCTTGACGCGAAGGCCGAAGGATAGCATCATAGCTTGCAAAAATGGTCTTAGAATAGCAGTTCTCGCTTCTCCCTTTTGCCTCATTTTCAGACACTAAAAAATCTCGATTTTGTATAATATTGAACACAATATAGTGCTTTTTAGAAAATTTGTAGTGCTCCTCCTGTTTATTGAAAAGCCAGTTAATTTCGAGAAACTTCCAACAGCTGACTAATTACCCGGCGAAACCGCTTGGTAACCCTACGGACTTGCGGAGACGTTGACGCTCGTCAGATTTGATATCCAGAAAAGAGTAAAACAGGTAACACCAATAAGTGAGTATTTTACAAGGGGACATGTTTTCATAGAAGCTTTTGAACAGTTTTAATACTTGAATATATGGATTATGTAGACTACATGATTGCAATGCCAATGGATACTTTCAGTTTCTTTTTTGATTATACAATGGAGTGTCTGTGACATGTCATGGATCTGTATTTATCCCAATGTATTAAAATAAAATTTTGTTAAGGACCAAATTAAATATGAGTTATATTTCGGAATTCTGATTTATTTTTCATTTCCTGATTGATTACAGACTTGGAACAGACAACATGTCTTATGAAGTAGTTGTTATAAAAGAAGGCTATAACAAACCAAAGGATACAGGTATGTAATTATTACATATAAGGTTTGTTACTGACTGTCTTCAGAAATATATTGGATTGATCAATCTCGTAGACTGTAAGGTAGGGCCAAGCTGTCCTCAGGGATATATATATATATATCTGTAGCAGTCTAGACGAACTCTAAAAACGGCGTGAACTCCGAAAACGAAGTCTTTGGCTCCATCATGCATTGCGGCAAAATGGCGTCCGATGTAAACAAACGATGGATTGTCGTTCGCTTTCTCAAAATATACGGGTGCATGATGGCTGTATTTAGTGCATTGTGACTTTATTTTTAATTTTTGTTGAATGGATAATTATATTTATTAAATTATTTTGTGGATATTGACTTATTTATTGCTTCAAACTCTTGCATAATAGTAAATTGGATATACGACATTGAATTCAATACTGCCGGTAAGAATTATTTTCTTATTTGATTCATTGTCTCCTTGATTTAAATTTTATGTTGTTCCTACAATGTAGGTGCTTTTATTTTGTTTTTGAAGACACCCAACTTGTATTTATTTTAATTAGAAAATGCGTATTTTTCACCACGGAGCTGAGATATTCACAGGTTCATTTTTAGAAGACATATTGTGACCTTAATTTCTAGAAGAGTGGTTTTTAAAGATTTCATATTTATAACCAATAGTTTTAAAAATGTTTTCATATTAATATCTGTTCGTATGTGATAAAAAATCGGTAAATAACGATGGTAAGAACTTACGCGTTCAATTCAGATGTCGTACACAAATAAAAATACCAGAATGCTAATTTATGTGTAAAATTCAATCAAGTTTTTAACAGTTACAATATATATTATCCCATTTTGCATATATATCCCTTTTATTATACATATTTACTTCTCAAACGTATCATTTTCTCTGTAATTGACCTGACTTCAAACGTCAACTTTGAAAGTAAATATCTCCTTTTTTGCAAATAAAATAAAAAATCTGACAAATACGATCTCTTCCAAAGTCTTTTATTTAGCATTTCTGAGTACTGGCATAATTGCCATATTTTCCAAAACTTTGCATAGACAGTTTTTGTGGACCCATCATTTTTGCCGAAAAATCGCCATTTTTTGTGCGTGTGCGCATGCGCGGACTCTTTTTTCGGAGTCTTTTTCAGTCTCAATTTCTTACTTCCGGAAACGCTGTTTTTGGAGTTCGTCTAGACTGTGTAGTGGGACCGAGCGTGCGGTCCTTTCTGCTATTTCAAATCCTCTTTAGACTTTATTAAAATCCTCAATATCCCATATGAATTTATAAGTATGTTTTTCCTCCTTTGGTAGCGTAAAGTAAAAATTCCAGTCATCAGTTTACAAGTTTATTACATGGTTCTATTAAGCACAACATAATATCTAACTCACAACTATAACTCTGTAACTCCGTAACTAACTCCCCCACTTGTGAGTTCACGCCCTATATATACATTTTAGGGTTAGCTGCTGGTTTATAAATAGCGTCTATTACGTAATCTATATACATTCTATATACAAATATTTTTCCCCTTTACATATCAATGTTGTTTTAACCTTTCCCCACTGGAAAATGTCAAAATTTCCCCTTTTAATTCTGAAAAATTTCCTGATTAAACAAAAATGTTAGATTTAAATATATTAATTTATGATAGGTCTAGAAATAATCCACAGCTTAGCTCTTAGGATGCAGATTTTTGCAACATTTATCTGAAAATTTCCGATGGGGAATGCCCCGGAACCCCCATAGTATATATATGTGGCGGTCAGACTGGTTCGATCACTGATGGCCAGATAGCCCAATTGGTTCTGAGCACCTGACTGGAGATTCGGGGGGCTCGGGTTCAAATCCTGGTCTGGTCTGTTGCATTTTTCTCCTCTACCATTACATTTGGTGCCGTGCCATGCCCTGGAAGTGACAGGTGAAAGACCTGCCAGGGAAGAGCCTGGGTTGGTGTTTTCGGGGGCAGAAGACCTTTAAGGAGGGAGGAATGTGGTGGTCTGATGGGTTCGATCGCCGATGGCCAGATAGCTCAGTTGGTAGAGCACCTGACTGGAGATTTAGGGGGCCCTGTTCAAATCCCGGTCTGGGCGATCACATTTTTCTCCTCTCTCATTACATATATATACACCCCTCTATCACTAAATGTCTTGCAATCGTTCTCATTTTCCCCCTTTACTTGAAAAGGGTAGTCAAATAAAATAGCTAGATTTTTATTTTGCATATATGCATGCACTATTGCATGGACAAATATCTCTGTATATACTATAGATCCCCTAATTAGAGTGCAGAGGGCCTGAGTTCAAAACCTTGTCATTTTTTTGGTATTTTCTCCTGAATGCATCTGAATGTTACATGTAAGGGTATCATTAGAATTAACAACTTGCTTTCCCTTTATTTCAAAGTAAAGGGTTAGAGATCAATTGTAACAGGCTTTGGGTTGAAGTTTATGACCAATCTCTGTGGACCTTTCAACAATTGAATTTTGAAATTTTTTTTTATTTCAAAGTAGCATTTTTATCAATTGAAGCGGTCAATTTGGCCGGTAGCCAGTTCTGAGGGAAAACACTGATTAAAAATTGTATATTTCATTCTTTCTTTGTTTTGTAGGTCAACAAAGGGCAAGTGCCATAAGTCTAATCAAGGGTCCAAAAAATATTATTGTGGATACTGGAAACCCCTGGGATAAAGACTTCATATTGGATGGTACGACTGTATAGAGTTTGATTTCATTTAGCTCATCAAATAGGTTGTATTACATTTTTATAACATTAAGCATGTTAAAAGTACAATGAAATGTTGGCATGGGCTAGAAGCATGGTTAATTCAGTGGGATGATCATTTGTGCTAGATCTCAAGGTATCAGATTGAATTTCTTACTTACTTAACACATTTATTTTTGGCTCATCTGAACCAAAGACTCGGGTGAGTTTTGCTGATTGACAATGTTTGTTAGCTGTAATGTGTTGTCTATTAACTTTTAAGATTTCAACTTCTCAAGAATCACTGGGACAATTTCAACCAAACTTGCCACAAAGCATTCATGGCTGAAGGGGATTCAAATTTTTTTTCAAGTATGGACATAATGGAGCCATCCCTTTGTCAAGGGGAGATAATTATTAGATAGTGAAAATATGGTAAGGTCATGCAAAAACCTTTTGGAGAAAAAAGGAGGTCTACATTTGAGTCATTGATGTGCAAACATGCCAATCTAATGCAGATTCAAGTTTGCAAAGCATGGTCTCAGTTGGGGAACAATGCTTTATACAGAAATATATTGACATTCAAAAAACAGCTACAATTTTTAAAGTTGACATTATAAGCCTGTAAATGAAATTGGTGAAATCATGGACTTTTTAAAATTTGGTTATCACATATCTTCAAGTACATTTGTTAGGAAGAGAATAGAGACACATATGAGCTTTGTGGCCCATGGGCCTTTTTGTTTACTATACAGAGCATAAGCAAGAACTTCTCACTGATGTTTGTTGTCAGTTCTCAAATTTTCTTCTGCAAAATCACAAAGATTTCAACCAAAGTTTTAGATATCCTAGGAAAGATTTAAGCAGGATATAGCCACAAAAAACCTCCCTAGGGCCAAAGCGGTAGAAATCACAAAGCTTGTGCAAAGCTTTCCCTCTGTAGTGTTAGGTTTATATTGTGAATTTAAGTTGCCCAAGAGTTTTCAGAGCACCAGAGGTTTTGATAAGGGATTTACTGTGGGGTCACAATAAGGGGGTCAAAATATGCCATGGGAGTAAATAAGAAAATCTTTAAAAGAACAGTAGGACCAAGATGACTCAGGTGAATGTCATAGGCCTTGGGCCTCTTGTTTCTAAATTAAGTTGTGTACAGCACCAAGTTAATGTAAAATCATGTTTTAAAATTGTTTTTTATTTGAAAATATTTTCTAGGTCTTAAAAAGAATGGACTTTCTCCTGAAAAGATTAACTATTGTGTGTGCACCCATGGCCATTCTGACCGCGTTGGGAATCTGAGCATTTTCTCCAATGCTGTACACATTCTATCTTATGATGTCTGTGTTGGGGACCAGTACCACATGCATGATTTCAAAACGGTAGTTTCTTTGAATGTGATTTGAGGTCTAGTTTGTTATCATAATTTGTTTATAATCTGGCTGGTTAAAGATCAGGATAGCTTATGCATTCTTGAAATGTCTGAAATCTTATTATCTGCTTATGAAATGTGTGAAACAAATTTCAAAAGCAGTTTACCCCAGATTTTTATTTGAAGAAAATCAGATTAATTTGTTGACTAATGAGGACCCAAAATTATGTGTATTTTTTCCTCAATTTTATGAAGGATGAGTTGTTCCAAAATATAGATTTATCCTGATTATTCCAAAAATGCCAATCCTTGTACATTATTAAATTATCTAAACCAAATGGAGCTTAATACTTAGTTTGATTCAAAACCAAAAACATAATTAATGTTACCAATTTTTCATTTTGGGGAACCATCTCTTGTCTTATTACTGAAACTGGAGTAAACTGTTAACATCTAAATTGCTACCTCTCCTAAATAACTGTACTTAGTTCAAGCTCATAGCAGTAGAACTACAGTCTCACCAGAGACTCATGGATGACTTTTCAGCATCATGGTGAATGTGGCCAAAAATCAAAGTAAAGTTTTTATGTCATACTAGTACATGTGCATGTTTTTGTTATTATTGCAAAGTGTGGATGGCACCTTTCAGATGATCAACTTTAACTAGGTCAAATTCTCTACTATGTATAGCATTAGTCTGCGCAAAATGTTAATTTCTTTCTTAAAAAATGCATTACAAATACAAACTTTGATTTTTCTTGGTTTTAGGGAATTCCTTACGAGATAGATGACGATGTGGAAGTGGTCCCCACCCCTGGGCACACAGGGTCGGATGTCTCAGTCATTGTCAGCAACACAGGACTAGGTACTGTTGCAGTGACAGGTAAGGCTAAAATTGCATTAAAAAAATATTCTTTTTTAAACAGCCAAAATTAGATAAAGCAGTTTAATTTGCAGCCCAATTTGCAGATTGCAAGGGTTAGAGGGGATTGGGGATTGGGAAAGGAGATGGGGCGGGGTGGGGAAGAGGTGTGTTTGTCACAAAGCAGGAATTGAAAGTACATTGTTCAAGTGTGTTGGCTAAATATTATAATTTGACTAGAGAAATAAGTTCCTCAAGTGATCTGTAAATTACTTTTTATTCACAAGAACTCTATTTTCGCATAAATTATATGAGACCTTTAACTTAATTGCAAAAATTTCATGCTTGCCAAAAATGTATCAATAAAGATTATATATCACAATTACAAAAATTCATGAAATTTTTGTTCGCTTATAAATACCAGGTGTGACTGTCGCAACATCAATAAAGGTGTCTGTGACTATACTCATGGTCCAGATCATTTCTTACAAGACCTTAAATCAAGAAGTAGGTCACTGTGGCCTCAGATTTAAATTTGGTATCTATACATTTTCAGATTTTATCCAGAACATATAAATTTTTAATGCGAGGATTGTCAATCCTTGTCAGTTGATGTATCTTGGTCCCAACGTAGTTTATGATGACCTCTTATTTCATCGATAGTTTTGCAATCTTATACCATAATGTATGTGTACTGACATACTGTATAAAGATTTTCCTGATTGTAGGTAATTTATTTGAATGTTTCGAGGATTTAGAGGAACCCAGTCTTTGGCAGGATGTAAGTGAAAACCCAGAACTTCAGCAAGAGGGTAGAATAAAAGTTCTTGAAAAAGCTGACTACATTGTTCCTGCACATGGAAAAATGTTCAAAGTCCCTGATGAATACAAGAAATCTATGAGGGTGGTCATGTATGAGGAGGAAATTAACCAATCGGGAGATAAAACAACAGTCAGTGAATATGTGGTGATAGAGGGTGATGATGAATAAACCATTCTGGGAGATCTCTAGTGTTTGAGGAAATTTCTCAAAAAAGAAAAAAAAAATAAGTAGAAAACCTGAAAGATTTTCAAAACCTTTCTGATGTTGGTTGCAAAACCCTAAATACAAAAGTGCCATAAATTGCATAATGATGAAAATACAATTATAACCATGATTGAAATACTCTAATATTATGTAGTTATTCCTGTATTTCGGCTTTAACAGATATCTAATATATATTTTATGAAGTTTTGGTATTGAGACATTTTCAGAATTGTTTGTATTTTGCTCCATTTAATACAGTGTATATGTTAAGAGGTACGTTTAACCGGTTTTCTTGAAAGTATTACATTCCTGCATAGAATTGTTCAGGGTTCCTTATCGAAAAGGATACAAGTCTATTGGACTGTTGCTGAAGGACCAGTCTCAACACATTGTGATACACATTGTTTTCATCTTTACATCATTACAGATGGATATGACACTGTACATTACCTGCTTTTGACAGAGATCAAGTTACAACAAGTATCATTTGGTCATATTTTCTAATTTCAAAATCCATGAAATTTTGTAGGGAAAGACATTATGTTCACTTTTTTTATGTTCTGTAAGGATGTCTCCTTGGTTCTTTCTTCCCATCTTTCATCAAAGAGCTAAATTATTATACGTATGTTGTTCAGACAGTGTAATGTGAAACAACAATTCTAAGTTAACGTAAGTGTAGAGTTGCTTCTATAAGAGTGAGATGGAGTTTTGTGGAATTATGTTAAGTTTCTATATTTGTAAAAATTAAGAATCTTTCAGTCTCATTTAAAATGGTCATTTTTGATGTATGATGGGGAGGACCTAGTATCATTTAGTTGAATAAATAAATTTCATTGATCTTTATTCGTTATTTACATGTACCAGTATATATAATTAAGAATAGGTTCAATTGCCTATATACAGCTCTAGACTTGTTGCTGGGAGATTAAAATCTTTCTTGTGATGATTGGTACATCCTAGCTTCAAGGGAATGAATTAAACTGTGAATTTTCACTACATAGAAGACATTATACATGTTCTTGAGTACAAGTACATACAACAAAGCTAACGTAATGAATTCATGCTTAGAGTGAAGTGATTTTCCTTCCCCGTTGTTTAAAAAAGTATTATGAAGTTAAAGGGTATAACAAATTATATTTATAATGAATCAAAATTGTCAGTCCCAGGCACTTCACTATAAACATGTTTTACTGTATTTCTTGCCCCATGGTTTTTAGCTCACCTGAGCTGAAAGCTCAAGTGAGCTTTTCAGATCACATTTTGTCTGTAAACTTTTCACATTTTCGACTTCTTCTCCAGAACCACTTGGCCAATTTCAATTAAACTTGCCACAAAGGATCCTTCGGTGAAGTATTTAAGTTTGTTCAAATGAAGGGCCACATACTCTTTCAAGGGGAGATAATTAAGAATTAGTGAAAATTTGGTGGCATCTTTTAAAGAACTGTTGGGCCAAAAAGTTGAAACTTATGTGAAACCTTCATTACATAGTGTAGATTAAAATTTGTTCAAATCATGATCCCCGGGGGAAGGGTGGTGCCACAATGGGGGATAAAATTTTTACATAGGAATATATGGGAAAATATCTTTAACAAGAGGCCTTTGGGCCACAATGCTCACCTGAGTAACTTTGGCCTTGCTGTTTTTCACCTGATTACCCCCCTTGTAGTACCTGATGTGGCCCCGTTTTACCTCCAGGGTTCATGATTTGAGCAATTTAGAATCTACACTAGCCAAGGATGCTTCCACTTAAGGTTCAGCTTTTCTGGCCCAATGGTTCTTGAGAAAAAGATTTTTGAAGATTTTTTCTACATATTTCAATGTAAAATTTGAAATCCCTATTGTGGCCCCGCCTTACCCCAGGGGGTTATGATTTGAACAATTTAGAATTGAAACTACCCCAGGATGCCTCCACATAAGTTTCATCTTTTCTGGCCCAGTTTTTCTTGAGAAGATTTTTTAAAGATTTTTAGCTCACCTCAACGAAGTTGGGGGAGCTTATGTAATACCGTTGGCGTCTGTGTCGTTGTCCCAGGTTAAAATTTTTGGAGCAGTTTTCTTTTCAAGTACTTCTCTGCCCTATATTAATCAGAGATGCATGGAGGAAGCTTCTAGTGTGTTTCATTGTACCAGTCAAGGTTTCAGATGCTGCAATTTCAGCTAAAAAATGACCAGGTTAATGTTTTTGTAGTAGGTTAAAGTTTTTGGAGCAGGTCTCATTTCCACGTAACTATAGGCCCTATATTGACCAAACTTGCATGGATGATACATCTAAGGATGCACACTACTGAACTTGCTTTGGATGCTGGATCTGACCTACATTTTACGGATGAGTGACCAGGTTAAAGTTTTTGGAGCAGATCTCATTTCCAAGTAACTATAAGCCCTATATTGACCAAACTAGCATGGGTGATACATCTAAGGATGCACACTACTGGACTTGCTTCGGATGCTGGATCTGACATATATTTTCTGGATGAGTGACCAGGTTAAAGTTTTTGGAGCAGATCTCATTTCCAAATAACTTAAGTCATCTGTTGACCAAACTTGCATGGATGATACATCTAAGGATGCAGACTACTGAACTTGCTTCGGATACTGGATCTGACCTACATTTTCCGGATGAGTGACCAGGTTAAAGTTTTTGGAGCAGATCTCATTTCCAAGTAATTATAAACCCTATATAGACCAAACTTGCATGGACAATACATCTAAGGATGCACACTACTGAACTTGCTTCAGATGCTGGATCTGACCTACATTTTTTGGTTGAGTGACCAGGTTAAAAGTTTTTGGAGCAGATCTCATTTCCAAGTAACTATAAACCCTTTATTGACCAAACTTGCATGGATGATACATCTAAGGATGCACACTACTGGACTTGCTTTGGATGCTGGATCTGACCTACATTTTGTGGTTGAGTGACCAGGTTAAAGTTTTTGGAGCAGGTTAAAGTTTTTGGAGCAGATCTCATGTCCAAGTAACTTTAGGTCCTCTGTTGACCAAACTTGCTTGAATGGTACATCTAAGGATGCACACTACTGAACTTGCTTTGGATGCTGGATCTGACCTACATTTTGTGGTTGAGTGACCAGGTTAAAGTTTTTGGAGCAGATCTCATTTCCAAGTAACTATAAGCCCTATATTGACCAAACCTGCATGGGTGATACATCTAAGGATGCACACTACTGGACTTGCTTCAGATGCTGGATCTGACCTATATTTTTTGTTTGAGTGACCAGGTTAAAGTTTTTGGAGCAGATCTCATTTCCTAGTAACTATAAACCCTATATTGACCAAACTTGCATGGATGATCCATCTAAAGATGCACACTAGCAGGCTTGCTGTATCTGACCTACATTTTCTAGATGAGTGACCAGGTTAAAGTAAACTATAAGGGCTATCAGAACCAAACTTGCAAGGATGATGCATCACTGGATGAACACTCTCAAACTTGCTTCAGATGCTGGATATGACTTGCATTTTCTGGATGAGTGACTAGTTTAAAGTCTATTCCTAAGTAACTGCAAGCCAAAATTGCATAAATGTTACATCTAGGGATGCACACTACTAGAGTATTAATTTGGGACTTTGCCTTACTTAAAGACAACATTTGTTGAGGTGAGCTCTGTAATCTCTGATTACCAATGTTTTCTAGATATTTTAATGTAAAACTTAGATTCCCTTTTGTGGCCCCCCTACCCCCAGGGCTCATGATTTGAACAACTTAGAATCTACACTATCCCAGGATGCTTCCACATAAGTTTCAGCTTTTCTAGCCCATTGGTTCTTGAGAAGAAGATTTTTAAAGAGTTTTTCCACATATTTCAATCTAAAACTTGGATTCCCTGTTGTGGCCCTGCCCTTCCCCCGGGGTCATGATTTGAACAATTTAGAATCTACACTACCCCAGGATGGTTTCACATAAGTTTCAGCTTTTCTAGCCCAGTGGTCTTGAGATGATTTTAAAAGATTTTTTCTACATATTTCAATGTAAAACTTGGATTCCCTATTGTGGCCCTGCCCCACCCCAGGGGGTCATGATTTGAATAATTTAGAATCTACACTATCTCGGGATGCTTCCACATAAGTTTCAGCTTTTCTGGCCCAGTGGTTCTTGAGAAGAAGATTTTTAAAAGATTTTTTTTTCTACATATTTCAGTGTAAAACTTGGATTCCCTATTGTGGCTCCGCCCTATCTCCAGGGGTCATGATTTGAAGAAATAAGAATCTACACTACCCCAGGATGCTTTCACATTAGTTTCAGCTTTTCTAGCCCGGTGGTTCTTGAGAAGATTTTTAAAGATTTTTTTCTACACATTTCAATGTTAAAATTGGATTCCCTGTTGTGGCCCAGCCCTACCCCCCGGGGTCATGATTTGAACAATTTAGAATCTACTCTCCTCCAGGATGCTTCCACTTAGTTTCAGTTTTTCTGGCCCAGTGGTTCTTGAGAAGAAGATTTTTAAAGATTTTTTCAGCATATTTCAATGTAAAACTTGGATTCCCTATTGTGGCCCCACCCTACCCCTAGGTGTCATCATTTGAATAATTTAGAATCTACACTACCCCAGGATGCTTCCACGTAAGTTTCAGCTTTTCTGGCCTAGTGGTTCTTGAGAAGATTTTTTAATGACCCCACCCTATTTTTGTCTTTTCTTGATTATCTCCCCCCTTGGAAGGGGGCTTGGCCCCTCATTTTAACAATTTAAACTCCCCTTCACCCAAGGATATTTTTTACCAAGTTTGGTTAAAATTTGCCCAGTGGTTCTTGAGAAGTTGAAAATGTGAAAAGTTTACAGAAAGATGGACAACGGTGATCAGAAAAGCTCGCTTGAGCTTTCAGCTCAGGTGAGCTAAAAATCTTCTTCTTAAGAACAGCAAAACCATTTTAGTCATATTGATATGGAAGCATTTAGGTAGTGTAGATTCAAGTTTGTTCAATTTATGATACCTAAGGATAAGTTGGGTCACAACATTGATCAAAGTTTTACACAGGAATATATATTAGGAAAAAAAATCTGCTGATGAAAACGGGGGTCATATTGACTTGGCTGAGTGTTGTGCCCCATAGGCCTCTCGTTAGAGATATTGATTTATAACGAATTCTACCAATGACTTTAATTACATGCATCTTCTTTGGAAAATGCACAGCCCTTGGCTTGAACATTGCTTTGTGCCAAGTTTGGTTTAAACACCGAGTGGTTTTACAGTTGGGAAAATTAACAGCAAGATGCACAGCAGGCAGCAAAACTTCAATTAAATGCAAACTTTAGCATTACAAGGCTTAGGTCTAGATGGAACATTTGCGTGCAAGCTGCTAAAGGATATAGATGTAACTTGTTGGATATTGAAGTACAGTTGAACTTCGGTATCTCGAACATGGATATCTTGAATACCATGGATATGTCGAAGTGTTTTGGAAGTCCCAAGTACTTAAAATTTAAAGTATTTTACCCCCAATATCTTGAAACCTCAGATATCTCGAAGTTTATTCTTGGTCCCATTGAGTTCAAGATAATGAGGTTTGACTGTATTTGAAAATGAAGCATCATATTTTGAGAATAATTGCATCATTCTCTTGATTCATTGTGTAGAGATCAAGAGATGGGAGAATGTATCTTTCATGCACCCATTTACAGTTCACAACCTTTATTGTACCTTTATTTTAGGTTATAGCATTGATTCTTGCATTATCAACGATTCATTCATTCATTTGCTTTTTTTACTCACTCCTCAGGGTATCTCATTAATTTCTACACATTTAACAAGAGGCCCATGGGCCACAACACTCACCTGAGTAACTTTGGCTTTGCTGTGTTTCATCTGATTATCCCCCTTGTAGTACCTATTGTGGCCCCGCCCTACCCCCAGGGGTTATGATTTGAATAATTTAGAAACTACACTACCCAAGGATGCTTCCACATAAGTTTCAACTTTTCTGGCCCTGTGGTTCTTGAGAAGAAGATTTTTAAAGATTATTCCTATATATTTCAATGTAAAAACTTGGATTCCCTATTGTGACCCACCCTACCCCCGGGGGTCATGATTTGAACAGTTTAGAATCTGCACTACCCCAGGATGCTTCCACATAAGTTTTAGCTTTTCTGGCCCTGTGGTTCTTGAGAAGAAGATTTTTTTAAGATCATTCTTATATATTTCAATGTAAAACTTGGATTCACTATTGTGTCCCCGCCCTACCCCCGGGGGTCATGATTTGAACAATTTAGAATCTACACTACCGCAGGATGCTTCCACATAAGCTTCAGCTTTTCTGGCTCAGTGGTTCTTGAGAAGAAGATTTTTTAAGGACCCCACCCTATTTTTGTATTTTTTGATTATCTCCCCTTGGAAGGGGGCTTGGCCCTTCATTTTAACAATTTAAACTCCCCTTTACCCAAGGATGCTTTGTACCAAGTTTGGTTAAAATTGGCCCAGTGGTTCTTCAGAAGAAGTTGAAAATGTGAAAAGTTTACAGACGGACAGACAGACAGACGGAGGGATGGACAACAGACAACAGGTGATCAGAAAAGCTCACTTGAGCTTTCAGCTCAGGTGAGCTAAAAATTGGCAAAAAATTTCATTCTCAAACAAAGCAAACTTTATTTTGCATAAAACAATGTAATGAATATAAATCAATTATATTTACAACTTCCATTTCATAACTTCCTGAGAATATCCAAAAAGTTAATGTATGTACAAAGCATTTCAGATTAAAAATCCTTAACGAAGTAGATAATGAAAATCAGTATGTGTACTTTGTTACATGTACCATTAATTACTGGTTTCGTAATATTTCCATTTCTATTTGTTTTCTCTGTGGTAACTCTTTGAAAGTTAGGAGAGTTGATTTCTTGATCACTCTAACGGAATGCAAATTTCGCAAAGCGAAAGGTCAGAAGCTAAGAAGGCCTAATATGCATGTAATTCTCGTGCGGCTGTCTTTGTGTCTGACTCTAAGGAGGTTTAATATGCATGTAATTCTCGTGCGGCTGTCTTTGTGTTTGACGTCAGTGGGCGGGGACTATTGAAATTGACATGTGAGGCCTCGTGTAATTTAAATCTATTAGTCTACATTTTTAAAATCTAAATTCACAATTTTATTTCACAATGAAATGGAAATATAAGGAATCACTGACTAGTTAGTAGAGTATGCCAGGGCATCAACGATAGTTGGAAACGTGGGATAATTTGCATAACGGGCAACTATCGTTGATGCCCTGGCATACTCTACTAACTAGACAGTGATTCCTTAAATAACTATACGTAAATAATAGACTTTTTTGACAACCAATTCCTAATCTCACAGAATTACAATACATAATTATGAGGGATGGCAATCGAATACAGAATTGCCAATCAGTTCCCACCGATAAACCAAATTACAAATTTTCTTGACCTATTGTTTTCAAGTAAGCTCTATTCATTAACACAACATGACTTAAAAAGATGTTAATACTATTCTGTTTATTCTTGATAAAGCTCTATTTCATTTCAATTTCTCAAGACAAGAAAAGGTTTAGAAAGCCATAAAACAGGCCTGAGATTTCAGAGACACTGAAGATTTTTCAGGCCAGTGTCACATTAGTTCATTCTGCATCATCACCATAATCAGAACTATTAAGTCACTTACAAAGTTTGATATTTTTATCTGAGGTGGACTGTAATTTACTGCATAAAATTTTGTCAGGAAATAGACAGCGATACAGGCATTACCATCCAAAATCACATTCAGAGAAAATTATTAGAATTGTATGCTGAAGAGATTAAACAGAAGAAACTTGTGTAACATCGGTGACAAAATGAAGATATTTCATTGGAAAAAAACCCATTCAAATAAAATTTAAAACAAGCTTTTCTTAATATAATTTCAGCACACACGCTGTTCCTACATGTGTTAAAAAATAAAAGAACATGAAAGACCCTGTGAAGCAACCAATTGGTCAATACAGCATTTAAAATTGCAAAGACACTTTTGACCCAAAATGAACAGAAAGAATACAACGGTGATTCCATTTGAACTGAAACCTCCTTCTCAAACTCGTTTATTCTTGGAGAAATGTACACATAATACTACTATTCGTCCTCTTTCTCGATGACAACGTACTGGCTTTGTATAGAGGTTGTAGTAGTGTTTTCTGTGGTTTGCTGGATTTGTTCCTCACTGTACATAACGACTCTGAGGTGATGCTTGCAGTCCTCGGGGACCTGGAACATCTTGCCGTGGCCTGGTATAATGTGATTGGCCAGCTGAAGAATACTGATCCTTCCCTGTTCCTGAGACTCGGGGTCCTCGCTCAACATCTGCCACAAACTGGGATCTTCCAGGTCATCAAAACACTCAAAGAGACCTCCTACAAATACCACATATTGGTTATACATGTGTCAGTTACTCTGTCTTTAGGTTCATACTTTGAGGAGTGATCTGTATTCTGGACTTAATTCATCTTCCCCTTTAATTCTTCCATCTCCATCCATTCAGTGTTTTTCACCTATATTTTAAAAGCAGCCTTTTTCATCCATTTTGGGAAGAATAAATTGGGAAAATGTACATGCAGTCAATAATGGGGAAAAAATGACAATTGTTTCTAAACAGCTCTGATTTTGGATCATAAAAAACAGTTCTTTAACTTTTTCCTATATTCCTCTGACCTCTTACACCATGTAAATTTTCACGGATGAAATGGAAAGCAATAGTAGAGAATACTAGTTTTACCTGTAACAGCAACTGTTCCAAGGGCAGTGTTTTTGACCAGAACAGAAACATCAGAACCAGACTGGCCTGGGGTAGAAACAACTTCAACCTCATCATCTATTTCATAGGGAATCCCCTACAAGATCAAATACAACAAGAGGTAAATAGGATAAATTTCTAAATACTGAAAGCTGAGGGAGTTAGTTCATGCTAGAAAAATTACATGCATCTGTACATGCAAATAAAACAAAAAAAATAATATCATCAAAGACTAAAATTATTGTAAATTCACATTTGGAACACATACAATATGTACTTGTATATTTAGTCATTTTAATCTATATTGATGACTTGCTTTAAGGTATGAACCATATTAGTACATTTACACAGGGATAATTTTGGACAAACTAAAGCAGCTATGAGTTCATTCCTTCCCTTTTATTTAATGTGTTATAAAGGAAGAATTGTAATACACAAAGAACAATACAATCATGTATTGATTAATTCACAATACAGCTTCAGTCCATTTCCATGCACCAATGGTGAAAGCCTTGCCTGTTTGTCCAGCCATCACACTAACACATCACTGGCAAACACTACAAAGATATATTATTTGTATACATTTATATACATATCAAACTGACATGTACCATATATTATTTCAAGACACAAGTGCCAACTTTTAAATACAGTCAAACCTGTTTTAAGAGGCCACCATAGGGAACTTTTGAAAGTGGCCACTTATTCCATTTGCCCTCAGAATTGCCAGTCAGTAAATAAACCAACAAAATTTATTCTTTAAAAATTGTTTCCTATATAATTCTGTACTAAAAAAAGTTGTAACATTTCCAATGTTTTACTTAATTAGCGGTCATAAAAAAATTAATGTTTGACCACAGAGCGAGATACTGGACCTGTCGATGAGATGTTGGACCGCTTACGTCACAGTGTGGGCGGGGTCAGCTGTATCTTATTTGCATTCGTTGGAGTTCAACAGAACTTTACAGAATTGACCAAGTTTAAACCAGAGTGCGGGTAAACAAAATTTACATCTTGTTATGTCAAAATAAAAAGTAATAGGTAAAACAAAACATTTATTGACTGTGTTCTCGAGCAAAATGCGTTATGTCGACCCCTCAAACCAAACTGTTTGCCTTCGGCCTAACGGCCTCAAGCAAACAGTTTGGTTCTTGAGACCGACAAAACGCATGTTCCCCTGGAACCCAGTCAATAAATGTATAATGCTTTGTTAAATTTATCAATTATTAGAGAGTAAAATCTTTATAATTTTTTCTCATAAATTATCTTTTATTCTTCAACATGTCTCTCAGAAAAATACAAAGCCAACATCACAAATTGAAAATTAAGAATTAGAAGCTATAAAAATAATTGCCATGTACCCTTCGAAAATGTGCAATTATGCACAAGTCATAATAGGAAAAATATATGTACCCCTTCAAGGCAATCACATCACAACCATCCAGCAATAAATATATATCATCGCACTATTATGTAACAACAAGACCCCTCCTTTTTCATACATACTATCACCAAATTTTCATACCATCAAGACAATAAAGTGAACCGCCACAGCATGATACGCCCGTCAAATATTGTTCAATCATCATAAACAGTTTAGGGTGCAAGAAAATAATGTCAACCTTAATTCAAAGATTTCCAATATTTTTCCATTCCTTATAATATATTTGATGTTTATACATTTCCTGTTGTGCAGGCACTAATCATAATAAATTTCTCAACTGGTTGTGTTAGACCTTGACAAATGCCCATCTGCAGTGCAGCCCTCTTCCTCCCCCCCCCCCCCCCCCCCCCCCCATCTTTCATATTTATTTGATATTTTCAAAAAATTAAATAAAAATATCATATTAAACAATTTCAAAATAGTCTTAACAATTTAATCTATACCAAATTAATTTTGAAAATAAAAGACTGGCCATCAAATGACATATGCTATGAACTGACAAGCAGATTTTCTGTCTTATTCCAAAAGGATACAGATAAGAGCTGCTTGATCAGAGATGCTCTAACAGAAATGATTGAGACAGCTAACCTTCCGATACATTGAACTCATTAATTATAATCTTTAACTGGATGCATGTCTATTCATTACTCCCAAGGGATGAATGGATCTGCACTATCTGCTTTAATAGTCTGTATTGCAATAAATATGCATATTTATGTCATTCCGTTGAAAACAGATATTTTTTAACTTGTAACAAAGATTTATAAAAAGAAATAAAAACTTGTAATCTTGATGCAATATTTTTACTGCATGACTCTTAGATTTGTAGGAACTATCTACCATAAAAAAAAAAAATACTTGATTTTTTTTAGAGTTAATGTCAGACTGGTTTTAAGCTGCAGTTCATACTGACAAACCAACACATGCTGATTCCAATATCCCCCCCCCCCCCTCAGATATAATTAGTTTTAATTATATTATACAATATCAAATTAGTTTATTATACAATATCAATTTTAAGTTAGTTTACTTTTCACCAAATTCATTTTAAAAGTTAAAAGGCTAGCCAACTAGATTCATTTAATCCAACGCTGATTCCTTTCCCTAATTCCCAGGAGATATAGATAACACCTGCTTGATCAGAGATGCTCTACCAGTTAGCCCCTCACACTAAAGCTCATTAATTTCTCTCTAATTTGACATGTAATTTTCTGTTATCAAAATTCTCATTGACCAGTGCTTGATGATTAACCCATGGGAGAGGTGGAATTTCTCTTATAACATTACATTTGTTATAGATTGCTGTAAAGTATATAATGAAAAAAATTAAGTATTTCCTTGATTTAACATTTTTTTAATAAGGATACTGCAACATTCTTACATTTTTGGGGATTGTGCAATTTAATAGTATAGAGACACAGTTTTTAAAAAAAAAATTCACTAAATTAAAGGTCACAGTGACCTTGAAATAGGTCGCAACACATCTTCTACCTAAGATGCATAAATTGGCCAAGTTTGATGATTCTAAGTCTTACAGTTTTCTAGTTATGAGCCGGACAGGATTTTTCCATATTTGGCCATAGCATCTTAATTAAAGGTCAGAGCAACCTACTTTTAATGCGCGACACACCTTCTACCCAAGACGTATCAGCTGACAAAGTTTGATAATCCTAGGTCTAATAGTATTAAAGTTATGAGCGGCGGACACGAGAAAGCTAACAGACGGACGGACATGAAGGCTATAACATAATACATCCCGTCTTAAGACGGGCGTATAAAAAAGCCACAAGATGGGTACACATACCTGCTTAAATGCATGTTTGAAGAAGTTGTCTTCAAAGCAGAGCTCTCCAGAGACAATGTGTTTTGCCTTCGTAAATAAGTTCAGGTTACCAACTTTATCTGACCGACCACTAGTACAAATAACATAGTCCACATCCATTGGTGTTAACTGGTATTTCTGTAATCCTGAAAATATGAAGAGGGGCCAGATTTTATTTATTTGACAGACATACAGTGTATGAATAATATGTCTCATGCATGACACATACAACAATATAACAGCACTCAACACTATCAATATTGTATATATATATATGTATTTATATTGTGTGGACTTGTTATTTAGGCAACAAAGTGAAAAACATTAGAGAGCATGAACAGTAGAAAAGAAAGCCTGAGACATCCAGAGGACCCCCCCCCAAAAAAAAAAAAAATCAATCTTACACTGAAATGTTTTTCACACTTTAAATATACATATAAATTTGACTGTAAACAGAGCATGTCTAATTTCTGACACTCCAAGTGGAAAACATACATTGATATTTACAAAATCTTTGAACCTGGCTTGAGCTTTACTAAACTGATCATCAACCTTGGTTTAACTTCTACATCCAGATGACCATTTAATAAGTGGGGATGCTACCAAAAAGCCTCAATATTTCTCTGATTATATACAAAGAATGACTACTTCCAATACTCTTTACTGAATTATCAATAACAATTCTAGATTTACAAAAGTTTAGAATATATATCTTTATATTGCTTCCTAGCCATTCTGGATAATTTTTTTCCCTTTAAAGATAAGCACATGCATTTATTATTTTTAGACATGTTAGAACTCTGAAAATTAAAAACTAAAAAAATCCATATTATACATTTATAAGCAATAAATATTCTGTTCTCAACAAAATGTTTTATACATGCTAGCAATCTGTATTGTAAAAACTAGTTATTTTATAATATATGGGATGAAACTATCAAATACAATAATATGACAGATCCAGAAGGTTCTCATAAGCTTGCCTTGAAGAAGTAAATCTCTGTCCCATGGATTCCCAGTGTCTACTATGATGTTATGTAGGCCTTTAATTAAGGTGATGCTTCCACTTGTTTTCATCTGACCTAGATAGTGTGCGTAAATCAATGTACATGGTATGTAATTTTTAATTAATCAGTCTATCAATATTCATCACATTAAAGAAGAGCCTGCACATTCTGTTTTTTGAAAAATTGCATGTATAAGTTTGAATTATCATTTTTCTTTTCAATTACAAAATTACAAAAAAATTCTGGATCTACAAAACCTTCTTCTTTTGGTATACTGTAGCCTTCTTTGAGCACCAAAACTTCATACATTTTGTTCATGTGGAAATGTAGTAACTCTATACAAGAATGAAAAAACATTTGAATATTTTGCATAATGGCAGAACAAAATAAAATATAAATAGTTGTTTAATCTTTTTAGGAAATCTGCAAAGAAGTCATGTTTCTGATTCTGGTGATTACATGGACATTATTGTGTAAAATCAGGTCAAAGTCAGTGTATGGTGAGATATTTTGTAAAACGCCCTGTAACACAAAAAAATTTATTTATATATAGTTTGGTAGCAGAGATTCGATCAAATTTTATATTAATGAGATTTTTTTTGTATACTCAAAAAAGTAAATATGAAGTGCTTTTACCGTGCTTGAACATCTTTTGATCAAGTAGAGGCAATTTTTATGGATCGACGGACAGAGTACAACAAACAAATCATTTTTTATTGTTGGTCTTGTCTTGAAAAGTATACCAAATTTTCCCCCATCCACATGTAATGTGATATAATTAAGAAACTTGCTATGTTAATTTACATGTAGCTCCATTCATATTCTAAAATATTTGAAAAGATATTAACAGCCAGTCCCCTATCATAATTTTTGTCAGTATTAATTAAAAATTCTGAACAGAATAAAAAAGAGGAATCAAAACTCCATATATACACTGTACAGTAAAGCATCTGTCCATCAATATCTCTAAAACGGGTACAGATTGCTTTAAAATTTACAGGACATAGGAATACACAAAATTTAGACATTAATTATGTCATTATTAAATTGATTGTTATGCAGTGATCTCAGCGAGATCCGTAGAGACTAAAAATTTTGGTCCGTAGAGACACCAGACAAAAATTTTTAGTCTCTATGGATCTCGCTGAGATTAGTACTGGACCTGTTATGAACAGCCGATCAAGTCCACAGGGACTTGAGACAATCTTAGCAAATTCTGGTATATAGTATAATATTATTAGTATATATAGTATAATATAGTATAATATATTATAATATAGTATGATATAATGTAATATAGTATAATATTATTATACTATATACCTGATTTTGCTAAGATTGTCCCAAGTCCCTATGATCTGATGATCAAGTCGGGGCAATTTTTCCACTGTTGCACTGTAGACATCACTCTTGTGCTCCCCCTCCCCGCCCCCAAGAAACATCTTTTTTTAAATCGAATGTTTAATTTTTTTTAATCACCTTTAGGCTTATCTTAGCATAGTCCGAAATATCTGACGTTTTCCTGGCCTTTTTACTGATTTTGATATTTTACGTGTCAGGAAAACTGGCACGTAAAATATCAAAATCGTGAAAAAGCCTGAAAAACGTCAGATATTCCGGACTAATCTTAGCATACCCCCTCCCCCCGATCCCATACATCCCTCCCAACCCAATTCGTCCACATTCACTTCTGACTCTCTTTGACCTGACCTGTTCTCTGTCCCTTTTGTTAAATACATTTTTTGTCAAGTAGACTGAAACTCAAGACAGAAGTAATTTACCGCCTCTGGTTGCTGATGAAAAAGATGATGATCCAATCCCAATGTGAACATCCGGTTCCACTAATTAACGCTACCTATACAAAAGTAACCAGTGAGGGATTTGGATCCTTAGTAAGTTAGTAACAGTTTTCATATAGCATTCCCCAAAATGTACATATATATTTTAAATTGTACATGTTAGCAATTATCTCAACTTATGAACCATGAGTAAATTGACTAAGTATATGTATTAAGAATATGCTGAATATTACTATAATCACATTTTGTGAATAATTATTATACTTAAATGTTTAATAATCATGCATGTAATATGCTCAAAAGGGCCCTGATTTGGAATAATAAATAAATAAATAAATAAAAATATATATAGGTTTTATGCAAGTCTTTATCACAATCAATAAAGATTTCCCTTCTCTCTACACCAGCAAAGGCGAATTTAATTTTAAAAAAGAAAAGAAAAAGAAACCTATTTTCCAAGTATATTACGGAAACGTATTAGTGCCACGAAATATTTTTTAAAAGTTGGTAATTCCAAGTTTAAAGTTGGCTTTTCCATCTTTGTACGGCTTTATGCGTTATTAATTAAGATACTTTATAGCTGGACGCCAATTGATTGGAAAAGTCAACTTTAAAGTGGGAATTACCAATTTTAACAAAATATTACGTGGCACTAATACGATTCCGTAGTATATGCAGGTTTAAAAAAAAAGGGGGGGAGCTGACGAGCAAAATATTTAAAAACAAACAAACTCGAAAATCATATCTCGTGGGGGTTGGGGGATGTGGGATAATATCTCGTGGGGGTTGGGGGATGTGGGATAATTTCATGAAAATCAAAGAGTTCTGAGGAATATTTTTTTAATTTTGACACGGGGCCGAATTTTGCACCAAATGCACCTTGTCCTTTAACAGCTTAAAAGAACTAGGTGCAAATGTTTTAGGCCAAGTATTATTAGTCACTATCCAAAATAAAGAAGTATATGGCTGTAACACAATCCAGATTTGAATGAATTGACTACATAATGGTCCTCATTACTAAACGCTGGTAAGACAAATCATGCAGCTTGGAATTATTTTATTGATAAGTTATCTCTCTTATCAGAGGGTCGTTCCACTTTAAAGAACGAGAGCTGAAGAAAACTGGCACACATTATGGAACATTTTTTCCTTTTACGTACCATACTAAAATTTGTCAAAACTATCTACAGATATGTTATAAATTTATGCACGAAACACCCACAAAACAATATTACGTAGCAAAACGTGAAGTCAAAATATGTGTTTATCAAATATTGTTTAATGTGTTCCAAATGGCTGTCAAATTTTTCAGTCACCAGCCTCATTCAGTCTCAAAAGTCCCATTTTGCTCAAATTTGGAAGCAATTCAGAAAATCTGTTACCTATAAAGACACATCTCTTCTGTTTACTTCTTTTTTAAAATCCTATTCACTAGAATTGGGATATTTGTTTGCATCTAGATCAGTTTAACAAAATCAATATAGTGACCTCTTGTATCATCCATTAAAAAAAACGACTACCTGACTTTTTAATGATGTAATCAATACTTAAAAAAACAATTATGTGGTTAAAAGTGTGTAGTTTTTACTTTATATAATTATAATATACATGTGTATATTGAGGGAAAATTAAATATACTATAAAATACAGTTGTTGTTTTGTAAATATTTTATCATTGTGCAAAGATATAGGCATCCAAAGTTGGGACATGTTTGTTGAAACACCGTGTATAATATATGTACTTATCCCGACGCATTCTGTGAAGTTAATCACTTCATTACATTTACTTTTATGTAACATATTACTTCAGGTCAAGATCTCAGAAAACGGCAATAAATATGTTCTTGGCCTCTTCTTTCAAATAATATCAAATTGAATATATATTTCAGGATTACTTGATTTAAATTAATCATGACGTCATAATGGTTCAAGCACCAAAGAGAGTGTGATCTTCCGGTAGATTTGTCATTATTACATCACAATAGTCATGACGTCACAATAATATACATTCTGTTGTTGGATACATGTAAAACATCATGGGTATCTTTCAGAGTTGTCTTGCCAAACATAACCGGGTAGGAGTGATGGGGAGGGAGGAAATGGAGACGTATGAAAAGGTACGCCGGACCATGATCACGGAGGATTTGACCGAGAGGAAGGGCGGAGTGGCTTTTGATCTAACCTTTCTCACCGAGGAATCAGCACTAAAGCTGCAACCCAGACCACCTAGCCGATTGACCAATGACAAAAAAGAGAATTTTGAATTTTGGAGAGGTAAATTATGAAATAGATTATTTGAGCTATATTCATATATAAATAATCTCAAAAATACAGTTTTTGTATGTATTTTTGTTAAATAATCAGTGCCTTTTATAATTAAAAACTAGAAAACCAAGAGAAGACACAGGCAGAGAAACAGATGAGGGCCCAACAGAAACGAGAAGAGGCTATTGTGCAGAAAAGGATTGAAAACGCACACAAAGAAATGGAGCGACTTGAAAAATATGTCAATCTCAGTGAGTGAATTGATTAATACGGATTTGCATAAGATTTACCAAAAACATTTTACAAGTATTTATAAATTGCAAATCCTTTGGAACCAAAGTGGGGACACACTGTGCTCTTTTTTCTGCGCTTCTAATTGCTCTGTTTGACTGTTAATTTTACTCTTTTCCTTCTAGACATGTATCCTTCCGTGGTCTTCTCTTTTTATAATTTGTTTTTTGCATCGATGTTTAACTGATTTTCTGGATAAATACAATTTATGTTTGATTGAATTCTTTGTTATTTTTCGTCAGCTGATTGGTTTGAAGTTACGTTCATTGCTCTCTGGTGAAAACTCTTACCGGAACCTTAAATACCGGTATTGCGCAAAATGTTTGATAAACTTTTATTTTATTAACAATGGAACATGAACCAATCTTGATTTTACTGAAAGGATGACTGCACTTAAGGACATGCGAAAATTGCGACAAAATAAACTTTCAAAACAAGCATTTTTCTTTTAATTGCAGGAATGGCCATCATCTAATCTACATATTTACGTAATTGCAATTAATAAAAATATGTAATTACGAAGCTGGAAGCTGTTTTCAAAGGCGGGTGTCGTCACAATTTCTTGAATCTCCGTACGTTAATGAGGACGCCCACTTTTTTACTGACTTTTTACATAGTCAGCGCATGTTTGTCTATTGTTCTCCGTTTAACAGTAGTTGTACATTTGCATTAATAATGTTGTGTCAAAAGGAGATTAATAGACAAACATGTGCTCATGGTTTAAAAGAGAGAAAAAAACTGCTTTTTCTTACATTCGCTCTCTCTGTTGTAACCAAGGGTTTTGGCATGTTGAATATTATAATTCACCGCGTGACTTCTTATCTCGGGTAACTCTGTGAATAGTAAATTTCGTCACGTAACTTGTAAGGTAGCATGTTTTGTGCTAACTAGGACAATGTGCTCGAACACGTTGAATTGTCAGAAATCAAATCAAAATAGTCTGTACTTACATTGGTAATTTCGTTTTGAAACCTTTGTAAATAGTGTACTTGTGCCATACAGAATAAAGGGGGAGATGGGAAAGAGTAATTTCGTATTTTTATACATGTCATTGTTATTTATCTAGTCTAATACATGTATTAGAGCCATTCTTACAATGTTAGCTCTACCTCTCATGCATATCTAATGTTTAATCGAGGGCAGGTAAGTGTAAATTCTCTATATTTTGAAAGCAGTTAGGACAAAAACATATAATTATTCAATTGTTTCACAGTATAAAATCATTTTAACATTTAAATTTGGTGCCAAATTGACAGAATTCTTGAGTAAATATACCAAAGTGAAATAAGGTTAAGATTTAAAAGCAACAAAAGCGACGGAAAAGAACCCAAAACCCGGCGTTAAGTGTAGTTATCCTTTAAGGTCTGTAAGTTTGTAACTGATCTTCACATGACATTAAGCATACTTGTAACATGTAAAGTTCAGAAATAAAAAGCATTGAAAGTAACACTTTTTTGAGCTTTATTTATCGGAATCCTATGGAATTCCATATACGACAGCCAACTGCTTACTGCCAACTGCTCACTGCTTACTGCCAACTGCTCACTGCTTACTGCCAACTGCCACACATATTTGAATAAATTTTCACATTTATATTGATATTTATGTGAATTTTCATAAAACCAGGCGCGGATCTAGGATTTTTTTTTACAGGAGGGGCCCACCCCAGTAAAAAAAAAATCCAACCCAGAAATTTCTTGACCAAAAAAAAAAAAAAAACAACAAAAACAAAAACGTAAACTCCTTTCCTATACGTGAAAAACCTATTTCGGCGGGGGGGGGGGGGGGGGGTGTTAACATCTTATGCTTCATATTATCTATGACTTTTCATATCAACTTAACACGGATCCGCGTTTTCTAGGGGGGGGGGGGGCGGGGGTCCAAGGTCACTTTTAGTTGGTTTAGTATAGGTCTATACATTAAATAACTCTACAAATTCCAGGGGGTTGTCCGGACCCCCCCCTCCCAACGACCCCCCCCCCTCTAGATCCATGTATGTAAAACATAACTTATTTGGGAAAATAAAGAGATATAGATCTTTAATTTGAGAAAATATTTCACTATAGAAATTAACGGAAAATGGAACTTTATTTTCAAAACATCTTCCCCCGCGAAACAACAGATCCTTTTTTTTCAGTTTTTATTCATTCCAAAGGTTTTGTTGTCTCACGGGGGGGGGGGGGCAAGTGTTTTTTGAAGATTAAAAACAGGAAAATAGTCATTTTATTACCAAATTCAAATGAGATCACAAATAAAAAATGTACTTTATCACTTTATCAATCTCATATGTTAAATTTTACATAAGTAAAAACATACGGTGAGATTTAAGAGTCATTTATCCATTTTCAGTTTCATGAGTATTTGAAAATGGTGATGTTTTCAGCCTGATTTCAATTGATAAAATTTTCTACCCCCTTATGAAAGGAGTTGTAAATAAGAGCAATTAACTTTTTGTCACTGGTTTTTAAAATTAGTACTTAATACTAATGAACTTTTCTTTGCATTGAAACAAGTTTTTATGTCCAAATTGCCATTTATATTGAATTAAATGGATGGAAAATGTAGGCGGGAATCGAAAGTTAATGTGCGTAGTTCTTACAATACATGTAATAAGAAAATTTGGCGGATTTAGGAATTTTTAAACTGTAAAGGCGAGGGAGGAGTAAATCGGAAGAAGGGGTGTTTCCTCTTAAAAACAAAACATTTAATTTCTGTATTTCATTGCAGGCAAATAATTTGATAGCTTTTTTTGATGCGGGTAAGAGGGGGGGGGGGGGGTCACATACGACAAAAGAACAAACTTTTAAAAGGGTCTTGAGTAACATTTGTTGGAATATGTATTTATAATAGAAATATTACTGAAAGTTATAATAAAAAATAACTTTTGCCTAGTTTAAAATATCTATTAATATCTTTCGGATTTTCTTTTTACCCAAGAAAAAGTAACTATGTATGGGAATTTTTATATGTGTCTTATGTAAATCGTTTTAATGGCTAATGATCGATCTGTTAGATCTAAAAAAAAAAAAAAAAAAAAAAACATTCGTGGTGGTGGTGGTTGGGGGGGGGGGGGGCGTAACCACTACCCCCCCCCCCCCATTTACCCGCGTCAAAAAAAGCTACCAAATTATTTGCCTGCAACGAAATGCAGAAATTAAATGTTTTGTTTTTAAGAGGAAATACTCTTTCTTTCGATTTACTCCTTCCTCGCCTTTACAGTTTAAAAATTCCTAAATCCGCCAAATTTTCTTATTACATGTATTGTAAGAACTACGCACATTAACTCTCGATTCCCGCCTACATTTTCCATCCATTTAATTCAATATAAATGACAATTTGGACACAAAAACTTGTTTGAATGCAAAGAAAAGTTCATTAGTATTAAGTACTAATTTTAAAAACCAGTGACAAAAAGTTAATTGCTCTTATTTACAACTCCTTTCATAAGGGGGTAGAAAATTTTATCAATTGAAATCAGGCTGAAAACATCACCATTTTCAAATACTCATGAAACTGAAAATGGATAAATGACTCTTAAATCTCACCGTATGTTTTAACTTATGTAAAATTTAACATATGAGATTGATAAAGTGATAAAGTACATTTTTTATTTGTGATCTCATTTGAATTTGGTAATAAAATGACTATTTTCCTGTTTTTAATCTTCAAAAAACACTTGCCCCCCCCCCCCCCCCCCCCCGTGAGACAACAAAACCTTTGGAATGAATAAAAACTGAAAAAAAAGGATCTGTTGTTTCGCGGGGGAAGATGTTTTGAAAATGAATTTCCATTTTCCGTTAATTTCTATAGTGAAATACTTTCTCAAATTAAAGATCTATATCTTTGTTTTCCCAAATAAGTTATGTTTTACATACACGGATCTAGAGGGGGCGGTGGGAGGGGTGGGTGGGTGTCCGGACCACCCCTGGAATTTGTAGAGTTATTTAATGTATATACTAAACCAACTAAATGCCTTGGTGACCTTGGAACCCCCCTCCTAAAAAACGTGGATCCGTGTTAAGTTGATATGAAAAGTCATAGATATGAAGCATAAGATGTCAACCCCTCCCTTCCCCCCGCCGAAATAGGTTTTTTACGTTTAGGGAAGGAGTTTACTTTTTTTTTTTTTTTTTTTTTGTTTGTTTGTTGTTGTTTTTTTGTCAAGAAATTGCTGGGTTGGATTTTGTTTTACTGGGGTGGACCGCTCCTGTAAAAAAAATCCTGGATCCGCGCCTGGTTTTATGAAAATTCACATAAATATCAATATAAAAATGAAAATTTATTCAAATATGTGTGGCAGTTGGCAGTAAGCAGTGAGCAGTTGGCAGTGAGCAGCTGGCAGTTAGCAGTTGGCTGTCGTATATGGAATTCCATAGAATCCAGTGATTTTTTTTTTTTTTTTACATTCCTGCCGAATTCTACGCATTTGATCCCTGATCGATTTCGCAGTTACTGCATGAACAATACAAAAATCTTTGACAAAATTTATCATAAAAAAGTTTGTGATGCAATCAGCCTCCTTTTATTCGTACAATATTAACTTTACAAAACATCGAATACGAAAAGAAGAATGCGTAAGTTCTTGATAGTGAACAAACGAGGACATACCTTCAAGACAGCTTAATTGAAAGGAAAACAATATGGAATGATTGATGACGTTGCCTTTAAAATAGGTCATGATCAAAGGTTCAGGTTTTGAATAGTTTGGTATTCTGTGGTGCTTCTAAGAAAAGAATTTAAATACAAAAATATATACAAGTGTAGCTCACGTAGCTGTTCTAAAGAAACATCAAATTTTGGTTGTAAAAATATGTACATGTATGTTTCAATATAGGACGATATGTTTATAACAAATAAAATTAATTTTACAAAATTTTTGTTTAAAATACATACAATTGAATCAAATTAATCTTATTGTACTTTTTAAATTTACATGTATCATATTCATCAATTATTCGGCGAATATGGTGAACTTTTTTCACTTATTTTTTGCTCGTTAACTTTAATATTTTCAAGTACAATTAAATATATGTGAAGAAAAGAACACGATTTAAGGAAAGAGCCAGTCGATCCTCTTCCTGTCTATAATATGAATAAATTCCAAACGCATTCCATGGAATGAAGGAACGATTTACTATCTATACGCCATCCATCCTCTTTCGGAGTAAATCA